AAACAGATTCTCCCAGAGCCTCCAAAGGAGGAGTAAGCTTGCCAGTGCCTTGAGTTTGGCCAAGGAAACTAATTTCAAATTTCTAGCCTCTTGAATGCTGAGAAAATGGAAAGTCTGTTGCATTAAGCCCCCCAGTTTAAGGGCCATTTGTTACAGCACCCACAGGAAACTAATACTGCCTCACGCTGCTTCAGAGGAGTGTTCTTTTCTCTGTGGTCCTAGAAAAGTCCTTGAATCAGGTTTGTTCAATACTAAAGGGTAGAGAGAAAAAAGGGGAGAAGAAAAAAGATTTCCACAGCCACTGCTCAAGGGGGGTAGGGGGCAGTAAATCTATATCTGCACTGAGTGTCTCCCAAATCCAGGACCTGGGAACCAAGGGGTGAATGAGCCAGATGAAGCACCCCACATACACGCTTACATGCTAGAGGAAGGAGATTATAAGAATAAATTAGATGATACAATAATTGCCATAGAAGGCAGGGTACGGGAAGGCCAAGGACACAGGAGAAGCTGTGTGCTGGCAGCCATCTCTGCTCACACAGCCCCCAAATGGGAATGTCAGGTTGGTCCCAGCCTGACTTCCCAGCCCTGCTCCAGGCACACAGTGTGAGAGACCTGGGGCAGGACCCTGGGACACCCATGCAGGGCAGACGAGAGGGGCCCACACTTGGGTTGTCCATTAGGACCCACCACTGTTCTGAAAGCATGACAGTTTCCTTTTGTTCTGGCTTTGTGCCTGGTGCTTCACAGGCCAGGACAGGGAAGGGGAAGGTGGAAAAATGGACCCTGCCACGCTGCCTAGAGCAGCTCTTCATGTGTCTAACGACTTTTTCCCTTCACCACACTGTGCAGCATATGGAGACACCACAGCTTCCCGAAGACCCACCAAGCTGGACACAAGTGAGGCACCTGGGGCTTAAAGCCAGGCTCTTCATCTACCAGCTAAGAAACCACCTTTGAATCAAGAGAAGCAAGCCAGAGCCTTCCCTGCCCCGGGGGTCTGAGATGGTGTTTCCTACGCATTTAGGAGTTCTTCAAGATTTTCAATTAGTAAGGATCACTTTGATGGAATTAAAACGCATTTCTTTCCACATTAAGTCGTTTCCCAACATCTATACAATATCTTTGAAGATGTAGGTTTTTCACCTCCAGGTCAAAGAGCTGTTTGGGACAAGTGGTGCAATAGTGCCGCCTACTGGACAGTTGTCCTGGAGCAAATGTGACTGAGCTGCAGCGCTTCCGCTCCTTTCTTTCCTCGTTTCGTTGGTGAGTTTATTCACTCCGGGTGTGCACCCAAGTACGCTGAGAACGCCAAGTGTCATCTGCTGCGTCACACCGGTTATATTCCACATGTGCAGTTGCAAAGAAACAGTGGCTCTGGTGTTAAAGGGTTTAAAAACGTCTAAGGGAGGAGTCCTTTGTAGGGACTGCAGGTGAGGAGCAGGAAGAATCCTGGCAAATAGCGCATGGCTGCCTCCAGAACACCAGCAGAGAGATCCATAAAAAGCTGGTGCCCACGTGAACTAAACAGAACATTCTCAAAAGAAGAAATTCAAATGGCCAGAAAACACATGAAAAAATGCTCACCATCTCTAGCAATAAAGGAAATGCAAATTAAAACCACACTAAGATTCCACCTCACCCCTGTTAGAATAGCCATCATCAGCAACACCACCAACAACAGGTGTTGGCGAGGATGCGGGGAAAAAGGAACCCTCTTACACTGTTGGTGGGAATGCAAACTAGTACAACCACTCTGGAAAAAAATTTGGAGGCTACTTAAAAAGCTGGACATCGATCTGCCATTTGATCCAGCAATACCACTCTTGGGGATATACCCAAAAGACTGCGACACAGGTTACTCCAGAGGCACCTGCACACCCATGTTTATTGCGGCACTATTCACAATAGCCAAGTTATGGAAACAGCCAAGATGCCCCACCACTGACGAATGGATTAAGAAAATGTGGTGTCTATACACAATGGAATTCTATGCAGCCATGAAGAAGAACGAAATGTTATCATTCGCTGGTAAATGGATGGAATTGGAGAACATCATTCTGAGTGAGGTTAGCCTGGCCCAAAAGACCAAAAATCGTATGTTCTCCCTCATATGTGGACATTAGATCAAGGGCAAACACAACAAGGGGATTGGACTATGAGCACATGATATAAGTGAGAGCACACAAGGAAGGGGTGAGGATAAGTAAGACACCTAAAAAACTAGCTAGCATTTGTTGCCCTTAACGTAGAGAAACTAAAGCAGATACCTTAAAAGCAACTGAGGCCAATAGGAAAAGGGGAACAAGTACTAGAGAAAAGGTTAGATCAAAAAGAATTAACCTAGAAGGTAACACCCACGCACAGGAAATCAATGTGAGTCAATGCCCTGTATAGCTATCCTTATCTCAACCAGCAAAAACCCTTGTTCCTTCCTATTATTGCTTATACTCTCTCTACAACAAAATTAGAAATAAGGGCAAAATAGTTTCTGCTGGGTATTGAGGGGGGGGAGAGGGAGGGGGCGGAGTGGGTGGTAAGGGAGGGGGTGGGGGCAGGGGGAAGAAATGAACCAAGCCTTGTATGCACATATGAATAATAAAAGAAAAATGAAAAAAAAAAAAAGCTGGTGCCCAGCCTGGCTGACGGATCATCTCAGGGCTAGCAACAACAGTATAAAAGACACAAGTGTAAGGTAACACACACACACAGGAAATCAATGTGAGTCAATGCCCTGTATAGCTATCCTTATCTCAACCAGCAAAAACCCTTGTTCCTTCCTATTATTGCTTATACTCTCTCTACAACAAAATTAGAGATAAGGGCAAAATAGTTTCTGCTGGGTATTGAGGGGGGGAGCAGGAGGGGGTGGAGTGGGTGGTAAGGGAGGGGGTGGGGGCAGGGGGGAGAAATGAACCAAGCCTTGTATGCACATATGAATAAAAAAAAAAAAAAAAAAAGACACAAGTGTCTCCCAAGGCCAGTCCCTCAAAGGACTGCTGCAAATTGATCAAAAGCCATAAGATTCTTTACACTCTTGTGTCTTAGAACCTACTCTCAGAAATTTATCTGAAAAGAAACATTCCAACAGAAAGGGGTGGGGAGAATCTATGCCCCAAAATGGTTTTTGCAGTCCTATGGACACTACAAAAACAAGGAAAAGAATATTACCTTACAGGGTAAAGAATCATGGTGCCAGGGGCTGGCTTTGTGGCTCAAGTGGTAGAGCGCCTGCCTAGCAAGTGTAAGGCGCTGAATTCAAGACCTAGTACCGCCAAAAAAGAATCCTGGTGCCTCAGCATGACCAGACACAAAGCAGATTCAGGCAATAAGAACAACCAACAGAAACAAGGTCTTGATACACTCAGTAGAAAAAGCAGATTAGCATCAAGGCACACTGCTATTTCAATAATGTAAAAACAAAGATGTGTCATCAAGGACTGGAAATGAATATCCAAAATTATAACAATAACTGCCTTAATTATAGGGGTGTTCCATTTTTAACCACACTGATTCCCAAGAACTGGTCTAGATTCCTATCAGCACTGGGGTCCCTGGGGCCTGGAACCTCACACACTAGACATCATCTGGTGTAATTTTTACCAAGCTAAAGAAGTTATGTAATCTCATTTCACTTTGCATTTCTCTAACTATTAATGGATTGGAGCATTATTTCAATTCTCTTTGGCTTAGGCTTTTTTTTTTCCCCAGTAACTTGAGCCTTTTCAGATTTTTCTCTTCCAAAAATTACTTCTTCCCACTTTTCCAATAAGTTGCCTGTTTCCCATGTTTGTTGGGGTTTTTGCTACATTCGAACTGGTCAAAGTGAGTTACAGGTCAGCCAGATTCAAGGGATAAAGAAGCAGCTTGGCTCCTGGACAACCAGTCACATTGCAAAAAGACCTGAGACCTGCAGGTGCAGGGATGGGGAGGGTGGGGGGGAGAGTTGAATGGGAATGGTCTTTTCCCATTCTAATACAAAACGGTTGGACAGTGTTCACACAGCATTCCCTACCTTCCAAGATATTTCTGGATGATGCCACCCTACCACCCTGCCTGTTCTCTCCACCCACTTGTTTAATCTCACTGCTGACTTCTGAGCTGAGGCTACTCTCTAAGAATGGTAAACTCCTTTCTCCATGTGTTTCTACTTCTCTGTTCAAACACCCTTCCATTCATTTCAAGGCAAAAGACATTAACTTCAGCTTTTATTCAAGCTGCTGCTATCCCAAGAGAAAGACAACCTCCCCCCTTTGAATTTTTTTAATCACTGGATTCTTTTTTAAAACAAGAAATATGAGACCCATGTCTATCCCTCAAATACTACTAGAAATTGGAGATGATTTTTTTTCTAAAACTCGAAATGTTGAGATAGGGAATACCACCGTGCCCCTCACCAGCTGCCAACAGCTCTTATTCCTAATCCTAATTTCTGTGTGATTTCACTTTTATATCCGTATTCTCGCACATGAGGGTACTGCCTCCAAAACGCATAAATTGTGGCACACTTCTTTTGACAGGGTGGTTAGAAAAGGAGTCTGGGGATTGGAAGTAAATATGAGAGTTGTAGCTCGGCAAAGGGAGCAGGACCCTGAGGTTCTAAGGGAAAGGACACTGCAGGAATGGAAAAGCTTTCGTGAGGATAGACGGGGAGGAATTTGTGGGTGAAATGTCACTTAATATGCCCTACAATTTTCTGGCCCCATAATTGCAAGATTTCAAAAGACGCAATAAAATAAACGATTCTAATCCCTAACCCAGTGGCAATCCCAACAACCACGAAGGGCCGGACCTGAGCGGGACCTCCCCCGCTAGCAACCTGCCCGCCCTCCCCCCGCCCCGTCCCCGCCTCCCCCCCACTCCCGCTCCGTCCCCCGCCTGCTAGCAACTTGGCATCTGGCAGAGGCCGAAATGCCTCCTGCCTCTGGCCGGAAGCCTCCCCGACTCTGGGCGGCGGGCAGGGGAAGGGGCGGGCGCAGGCGGCGGGGCCGGCGCGGAGGATGCACGCGGGGCTGCTTGGGCTGTCCGCCCTGCTGCAGGCGGCGGAGCAGAGCGCGCGTGAGTGCGACACAGCCCGCGGATGGCGCCCCGAGTGCTCACCCCCACCCCCACCCGAGCCCACCCCAGCCCCGACCTGCGCACGCACGGTGGCTCCCTCCCTGCCTGCGGAGCACGCGTGGATGCCCACGAATGCACGACCTCGCAGATGCATGACTCCCCCACGAATGCACGGTCCCCCTTGGACGCATGCCTTCCTCCCCCATCCCCTGACCCAGGCCACATCCCCGAGGATGCAGGGACCCCTCCCCGCCACGGATGCATGGTTACCCGAGTGCATGGCCCCCTCCCGTCCCCGCTCCCTGGCCGAAGGACACCCTCCCCTCCAGTCGGTCCTCCCAGCGAGCGCTCCGCAAAGTGCTGCGGGCGCAAAATGTGCTGCCCGCCCCGCCACTGGCCGCAGAGGCCCTGGGGAGCGGAGGCTGTGGCTCTCTTTTGGGTCTTAGGACCGGGCTGGACGCGACCTGCTGGGGACACCTTGACCCCACGGGAAGCGCAGTCCCGGGAGGAGGAGAAGCAAGATGGCCATACTTTTCGCGCCTTTTACTTTTGAACGCGTAACTCTTTCAGTGCCCGGAGTGGTGTCTCCGCCCACTTCCGCCACACTAGAGGCGGAGTTCCTGGGACCAGTCCCCGGGGAGGGACAGGGAACCTTACAGCATCGACACTCCCCGACGCACATGTCCTTGGACCCAGGCGGGTCTTTACCTCTTACTTGCACAGTGGTCCTCCCGGTCCCCGGGCGCACCTGCTGCGCCCGAACAGGACCCTTCCCCCTGGAGGAGATGAGATTAAGTCCTTCCCTAAGCACGCCAGGCTCCCAGCGACGGCAGGGCAAGACTAATTGAGCTACCGGAGACAGAACGCGAGACCCTGACCGTCTGCCCAGTTACTGCCCCTCGGAGCAGCGCACTTTCCGCTAAATGCTCAGCTTGTGCCCTCGAATCCACTTTAAACGCTAGCACTGGAAAATCCAGGTGATGGTACTGTAAAAGGATCCCAGGATACGGGTGCATCTGCCAGTGCACCCCGTCGTCACCCTCCCACAGTCCTCAGGAGCAAGCTGGGGCGCCATAGGTCTGTCCCTGACGTCTAAAGTTACACCCAGCCAGTGAGGTCTCCATTTGAAAGGTGGAGAAGGCCAACCCCAAAGAATGAGCTGTGACTCTGAATCCAGCACATGGCAGGAAGCAGCAGTGACCTGCCTTTGGGTAATCACGGGGTGGGGCTTGCAGGTCCTCTCCACCCCATCACTGGATTCCACAGCATGGACACCTTCAAGAGAGGGGGTTTCACATGGCTTGACACATCCTAGCTGCCAGATACTCAGCACATGTCCCATGTCACCCAACAGCCCTTTTTACAGACAAATCCCATCACTTTCTGGCCTGCCCCATTGCCAGTGGGCGCTGTCCTCTCTGCTTCTGCTGGGTCTAGCAGAGTATTGCTGGTGGTGAGAACAGCTGCTTTGGTTGGTTAGGTTGTCTTTGGTTTTGTTTTTTAATGACGTTTTCAGTTAGGTGGTCAGAGGAACAAGGAGACCTAGAGAGGCTTGGGAAAGCAAGGTTTATTATGCTTGAAGGGACCTTGAGGCAGGAGTCACAGTGTCCCACACAGGACCACATGGGCAGCTCCTTGTAGTCAGAAGCAGAGCCTTTGCTGGGGCTTCCTGGGGAAGGGCAGGCAAACAGTGTAGGACACATTAGTTTGGATCATGTCTGTGGGCTTTTTCTATAGGGTGGTCCCTAGTCACGTGGCACTTGGTTGGGATCCTGGAGTGTGCAGGCCTGGGAGGGGAGGATGATAATTTTGATATCATAAGCATGACCTTGGGGGCACCCTGTGCTATTCCTAGGAGGGGCCATCTCTCCCCAACCACAAAGATCTGCAAGATTCCAGAACATTGTAACATACAAAAACCTTAAAAATAATACAGCCACCCAGTTTCCCTCCATTCTTCTGATGACCCCTTCATCTTTTCTCACCCCCCTCAGGCCTCTGCACCGTGGTTTACCACTTTGCCACAGGACACCTTCTCTGGGGGTGGCTGGCCCTTTCTGTCCTCCTGCCTGGCTTCTTGGTCCAGGGCCTGAGCTACCTGTGGTTCCGAGCAGAGGGGCACCAGGGTCATGGCTTCTTGATGGTGCTGCACCTGCTTCAGCTTGGCGTCTGGAAACGGTAAGAACGGCCTCTGAGGTGTGACTGCCTCTCGTGGTGAAAGATTTCCTCTGTCCGTATGTATTCTGCCCTAAGGCTATTGGAGTTCACGGTCACACCCCTCCTCTGACACTGTCATCCTCTTGTCCATCCTTGAGCATCTGTAGCATTTGGGGGGAGGGGTCCTCCTTAATCTTTCAAACACTTTTTCTTCTCTTCATCCAAATTCTGCCTTGGAGCCACATTCAGCAATTTGCTTAAGGCAGCTCCGTTTTAACACCTGTTGACTTAGTGGCATAGATTAATAAGCCACAGACTAGACAGTGCAGAGGGCACCGATGGCATTGACCCTAAGCTTTTGTGGAAGGAAGAAGTCATCTCAGAGCCAGAGCCAATTTTTTTTTTCCATAAAAAAGGCAGCCATGAGTGGGTCCAGTGCTGGCAGCTGAGCTGTGGTCCACAGTCACCTCTGCAGGCATGGTATTCTTTCTACTTGGAATATCTGGGCACAGGGAGTTGTCAGAAGACAAGTGGCAGTGAGCACACACAGCAGCACATTTCAGCTCTCAGCTGCCTCATAATTGCAGAGGGTTGAAGAGAATTGGGTTTTAAAGGGAAGAAATCAGGGATCACATCAGTGAAGCCTGCAACTCAAGTGTTTATTAAGTCACAGACCACAAGGGTTTGAAGGGTTTTCAAGGAGCCATCGGCAAATGCTGCCCTCTGTCCTGAGGAATGGTGCCTTCACTGCTCCCAGGACTCTGTCTGGGATGCTGAAGTGAGTGGCTGGCAGGGTCTGAGGTGGGAACCCATGTCCCTAGTGAGTGCCAACAAGGAACACTGCTCACTCAGGTCAGCATGGAAGAGGATTCAGAGAAAGACATCAAGCCACCACACCAGTTTCATGGGCCCCCAGAGCTGGGCTTCCCTTGTCTAAGGGCACCAGAAGTACATTTGTGGCCACAGCAGTTTCTTCCAAGATGGGCCTTTGGATTTGAGCTGTGACACTTCTCTGAAAAGACTGACTTATCACTGGTCCAGCGGAGAGCCTCTCACTGGACTCAGGGGACTGCATTCTCTTCTGAGCATTGCTTGCCATCGCCACACCCTGTCATGGTCAGCCTAGCTTGTGATGAGACTGCAGGGCTGCAGGTCTCCACTTGGCTTTGGCAGTGGTAGTCATAAGTTGTGAGACGGTGAGGCAGATCATCTGTCTAAAGAGTGAACGGACTTCACTGTAAACAAACATTTGATAGCTCAAAAAGAGAGTCAATCAATGGTCACTATAGATATAGCATCTCAAATAATTGTCTGGAAAATCTGCCTCCTGGGGCTCTTTGAGGACCTGGCCCCTTCTAGTCCAGTGCTTTCTAAAGAGACGTGATGGAGAGGCTGTGGTGTGTCCAGATTCATGCTGCTGATAGTGGACTGCACCTTCTTCTTGTCCTCTGGGCTGTCAAAACTTAATATGGGAAATGAAGAGAGAATTTGAAATTAGAAAAACAACTAGCCATCTACAACTAATTTTAAAAAGAAGTTACAGTGACTAAAAAAATTAACAGATAGTTTTTTTAAAATGGAAAGTAAGTGAGAAAAGCCAAGAAAAGGAGTAAAATGTTAAACACAAGATAAAGCCAGAATGTACAGTTTTTAGAAATGGGCCACAATTTTTGCCTGTAAGTTTCACAAGCATAACAAACTACATAGTTTGCAATGCTTCTGAGATCACAAGTTAGCCAAAACACAGAAATCTACATCCCTAGTGAAAAGCTTTGAAAGTTAAGATAGAAAGCAATGCATCTCGTTTTCTCTCCGAACTAGCACACTGAGCTTTCACAAAGAAATCACTGGGTCAAGTTGTTTTAAGACAAATTCAGTTTTGTTTTGTTTTTTCTAAATTGCAGTTTGGTCAATGAACCTGTAGGGGGAACCACAACAGTTGTGTTTTTACAATCCTGAGCTGCAAGAGTGGATCACTCACATTCAGAAGAATGTGAATGCAAAAGAATCTATTACAACAGAAATACAAACCTTTTGAGGCAAAGTAGCTTACTAAAATGCAGGAATTTAACACATAAATGTGTTCTCTTTTTTAAATTTCAAATGCAAACTGTACTGAGTCTGACTGTTCAAGAGAATCTGACATCAGTAACTACTTGTTTAAAGGAAGACAGTCACTTTTTCCTATTTAAGTGTTTTGTTCCCACCTTCATGCTATATATTGCCAACATCTTTTTAATGTTTTTTAAGCCCATAAATCCATTTGGAAAGTCAGCATGAGATGATGGAAGAATGGCGAACTAATTTCTTCCTCAGCTTGCAACTTGGCTTAGAAATTTTTCTTTAGTAGAAGTTAAAAGTTCTTAAAAGGAAAGTTAAGGCAAACTTTAAGGGAGTGTAAGATAAGCTTAACATAGATGGGTGGAGATTTAATCTTCAATAGTATATAAAATACAGCCATAATCAACACCTTGAGCTATTGGCTAACTATCTCTACTGTCACCAAAAATGTTAAAATGGAGAAAGGGTCACTGATGCTCCATGTGGTGGGCCCAGGATAGACTATTCTACTTGTACGGGATATGTTTGTTTTTTACTTAACCTATTAATGAGGAAAGACCAAATCTTACTAAGCAACTCAACCTCCTTTGAGTTAATTGTGCTTCTGGACTTCAAGTTACAGCATATGTGGTTCTTAATGCAACACGGAATCTTGGACTGTCATCACCACGCTCAATGTGCTCTGTGTTTATTTGTTCACATTTAGTGACTTGTGTGTGTGCCCTGGGGGATGGCATACATACATAATTAAGTACAGTCTCTGAGACTGCATTGGGATCAAAGCTGTAAGCAGTGTCATCAGGATGTAGAAAGTGCCAGGGAGGATTTGCCCTCTGGACAGGACCTCATCATTGTCTAGAAACTTGTTAAAGATGCAAATTCTTGAGCTGCAACCTGACCTATATCACAAGCAGCAAATTTCTCATAGCTCTCCAAACACCTCTGATTAATCAGAAACTCTGGGACTGGGGCCCAGCACTGGGTGTCTGAGAAGTCTTCCGGGTGATCCAGCCAGGGGGCAGTATCAGGCCTTAGTGCCTCCCACAAGACTCATCCCTGGGGGTGGGAGAGGCATTTCTGACCCAGAAACTGCAGGGTCAATCACCTGCAAGACATGAAGAATGCCAGAGATTGTGTGTTTGGGAAGTTCGGAGAAATTTGTTGTGAATATAAGGCAAGAGTTTTCTAGAGGAGAGGAAGGAGCCAGGATAAAGGGGCTGGATGGCAAGGAGACTTGGCCCAGGTTAAGGAGCCAGGCTTTACCCTGCAGGTATTGGAGACCCATGGGAAGGCTGAACAAAGGAATACTGTGAACAGATAAGGCCCTTAGAGAGATGCCAATGGGGTCAGTAGGCAGATGCAGCCAGAAACCCAGGCACAAACAGCGGAGAGCTTTGGGGGTATAGCAGCCAGGTCAGAGGGCCAGCATGGATCTCATAGGACCGTGACCCATCCCCCACACCTTCTGTCTTGCATTGATATCTCTCAGGTGCTCTCCAAATGACTGCCCAATGATCTCAACCTGAATTCCTCCCTCTGCTGTAGGTTCCAACTACCCCGACTCAGAAAACCTGGTTAGCTGTGTTCCCACTGGACCTCTCTTTCTTTCAAGGAAAGCCCACAACTCAGCCACATAGAGGAGAACATCTCCCTGCCTGACCCAGCATTATGTTCCACCCAAATCTTTTTTCTGATCCCAGACATGGACCCCATTCCAACACCCCTAGTCCACCCTACTAACTGCACACACTCCCAGTTTAGCTACCTGTCCAGAGTTTTCCCATCCTCTCCAGGAAGCCCTCCCTGACCACCTTAGTCTCTCTCCCCAGGACTCTGGTTCCATCTCTACCCACCTCTACCCAAGCCACTCATTCTGATGATTTTCTTCCTATTTAAGCCTTTTGTGTGTGTGTGTGTGTGTGTGTGTGTGTGTGTGTGTGTGTTCTTTCCACAACTGAATCTTCTAGATTCAGGAGCTAGATTAGATTTCCAGAGGACATCTTTCATCTTTCTTGTACTTTCTGTGGCCTGTAGCAGGTGGTTGGAGTTTAATAAAAATGTGAATCAAGAGGCATCTGGAAGAGAAATACCTTGTATCAGGGGCAAATGATTCAAGAGTGAAAGGAAAACTACAGCTTGCCCTTGTGTCAACTTTTGGTTTCATGTTGTATTTTTAAAAAAACAACTCTTAAGTTCATGTCAGGAATCATGACTTCAAAGACTCAGTAAGAAATCAGCTGGACATTAGATCAAGGGCAAACAAAAAAAAAAAAGAGAAAGAAATCAGCTCACTCCAGGATTCCCAATCATGAGGAAGGAAAATTGTTCTTCCTAAGCATCTTCCTTGGGCTCTCAGCACCAGGCATGACGCCGTGTCAAAGAGGAACCGCACCTTCTGCCAGGACATAGCGTGTTGGCGGAAGATTAGAACTCAACTTCTCACTTACAGTCTCATAGAGCAGCTTTAGGGAACTCCCAAGGCAACCTTCACGGTGCACCCACCCCTGTTTCACGAGTTGTTTCTGAGCTTAGACAAGAAAAGGACGTTCAGCTCCCAAATGGAGCTGCCCAGCACTGCTGCCCACGTGACAGGCAGGTGGCAACCTCCCTCATAGCCAACAATACAGCAAGGGAAGATGTTGGTGGGTGAGGACAAAATCTCACCCACAATGGAAACTCACTGCCCATGTGCTCCCAAGTGTGATTTGAGAGTGATATCGTCGTCAGATGTTCTACGTGGCCCTTTGGGCTGTGTAGGGTGACCTACACCACTTTCTTGTCAGATTTCAGAACGTAAGAGTATCAGAAAAAAAAAGTATCTAGGATGGGTTTGAAGGACGTAGAGTGAGACAAGGTCATTTTCTAATTGACCTTGACTTCGTTCTCTGGTGTTTGATTTCCTTTCCTGTGTCTTGGGAAGGTCACTCAGACTGACCTGAGCTGATATGGTCATGGGCAGCCCAGTCCTGCAGGATTTTTAGAAAGGGCCTCACCGATTTCCACTTGTCCCTCTCCCAGTCCAGCAGTTCCTGATGGTCTCCCTCTGCCTCAGCTTTGCTTCTGCAAAGCTTTGAGGACACTCATACTTTTCCAATCTTGTTCTCATTACTGCCTGATTCTCCACCCCCAACCACTTTTTGGTGGCTTCTCATTCTCATCCAGGCCTCTAAGTATGAACGGCCCCCAAAGTTCTGTCCTTGGGCCTGGTTATCTGCACACAACTATTAGCTCTGCTCACAAGCTCTAATCCACCATGAGTATCCCCAGACCTCTCCAAGCTCTAACCCACCATGGGTATCCCCAGACCTCTCCAAGCTCTAATCCACCATGGGTATCCCCAGACCTCTCCACAAGGTTGCATCAGACTTCACATTCTTCGTTTCAAAAGAGATTCATATTACCCCAGCCAATCCAGCACCTCCCACTGGCTTATTTCTGTTGGCTGCATCACCATTTCTAAGACAGTTAGGCTCAAAGCTTCAGAACTTTCTATAACCCTCCCTCATCATCCTGCTCAGGCAAGTCCTGATCTCCATCCCCAAATATTTCCCACATCTACTTCTTCCTTTCCGTCCCTAGCACCCCTTTCTCACCCAGGTCTTCATTAACTACTGCTTGATGTATTCTATAGCTTTCTACTTGGTATTCCTATTTTCTGTACACACACCTACACTTGCACACACACACATACACATATGCACAGGTATACATGCACACACACTCATATATACACACACACACAGAAAGACACATACTCATTTATCCCATACCCCAAACAAATCCAAATCCCAAAGCCTAAAATGCAGACCCTGGTGTGCTTTACCAATATTGCATAAGCCCCCAATTTCTTTGACACACCCCAACCAGCTAAGGCTCTTGCCAGTCCCCAGCAAAGCCCCAGAGCCTTCTCCTTCCCTAGCTGCCCTTCACATATCCCAGTTTCAGGGCCATGAGGTGCTGCATGCTGAGGATAAGGATGAGGGTTTTCTCATCCCTGTGCTCTGAAGAGGTGCCTGTGCACAGCACTTTTGTTGAGAGAGAGAATTCCCATCCCAGGACCCTTCAGGTTGGGGATACAGGACAGGGTTATTTGCACGCCTGCCTAGACTAAGCCTGGATTCCTTGCCCTGCAACATCTCTGTCCAGAGAGCCTCCCACATTGGCTTCTGGCTTCCAGCCTCTGGCATCCACCACTACCCTTCCAGACCTGGGGAGTGTGGCCCATACTGGGACTTTGCTGAGCTCATGGGGTTCAGGGCACTTGCATTTGAATTGACATCTGCGGCTTGAAGTCGGAGCTGGGTGACAGCCTAATTGGTGACTCATATGACATTAGAGGGATACTCTTGAGGATGCAGCACATCTCCAAGCGGAAGGGAGGGAGTGTCTGATGGAAGCCTGCACAGTCAGGCCGCAAGTCATGGTGGCTTTGCTCTTCTTTAGGCACTGGGATACTGCCTTGACTGCTCTGTCAAAGAAGGGGAGGCTCCCCGCTGGACTCAGCTAAGGCTGCAGGAGGTTGACCTGTCAGCCCTCCGGCTCTTGGAGGCCTTGCTGCAGACTGGGCCCCACCTGCTGCTTCAGACGTACGTTTTTGTAGGCTCGGACTTCACAGATATTGTTCCAGGTGGGTCACTTTCACTGCTGAACTCAGATTCCACTTCCCTGGGGGGGGGAAGGAGCAAAGCCCTCCATCTAGGATTTCCCCTGCCTGGGAGCACTAGGGCACCCCATGCTATTCACCTAAGTGATGGTACAATTCACTTTTGCTCAGGGCAATGAGGTCACAGAGAGCTGTCTTCCTTCTTAGGGGTGAGGGTGTAAGGTCAGTCCATAAGAGCAATTGGGCATAGTGGAGATGACCTTGGAAACCTCTTGGGGAGGCTGCATGTCAGTGAAATCAGTGCACCCATCTTTCCTGTGTCTTTAGTCACTAAAACTAACCAGAGGGTTTAGAGGCCCAGGGACTGGGACATTGTTAAAGGGCACAGAAAGGACGAGCCAGTCTGTTTGCTGGGAAAAAGCATCCAGGATGCCAGGCGGCAGAGACACTGTCTGAGTCTCCTCATTTACTCTTGTGTAGAAACTTCTTATTTGTACACAGTTGTTTTGTTACCCATGTTGCTTGGCGCCTGCAGGGGGCACTGTTTCTGTTTCATTCTCTTCCAGGCATCAGCACCCTGCTCTCCTGGGCCTCACTGTCATGGGCCCTCGTGTCCTACACCTGTTTCCTGGGCATCCTGAAGCCGGGCCACCATGCCATGCCATGGGCTTCTCTCTTCTGCCAGCAGCTCTGGCGGATGGGCATGCTGGGGACACGCATCCTGACCCTGGTTCTGTTCTACAGAGCTTACCGCGTTTGGGTTTTGGTGGTTGGAGGTAAGCAGAGATTATGGTTCAATCGTTTATTGCTGTGTAACAAACCACCCTGAACCGAATACCTTAACAATCACCATTTTTGATCACCAATCTCAGGTCTGGAGCTGGCCGTGCTGTCAGGGGTTCCTGCTTAGAGGCCGTCTCCAGCCACAGCAAGAGAGCAGGTGTCTGGGTTCTCGGGAGGTTTGAGCAGGCTCTGTGCACAGACGTAGCCTCTCTCTTTAGCAGAGAATCCTCAACTCATGCTTGGCAGCTGAGAATTTCAAGAGAGAGGAAGTGTAAACTGCCAATCCTCTTAAAAATAGGCTTAGAATGGGCTCAGCGTTGTTTCTACTGTTCTCTACCAGTGAAAGCAGTGGTGGGCAGCCCAGATCCACAAGCAGGGAGCAATAGATCCCAGATCCAAAGAGTGGTGCTTCTGTATTGATTGTAGACTGAAATCTTTCCTGTAGGAAAACTGTCACTCAAAAAGCGAGAGGCCTGGGTCCCTTTGCCTTGACAAAAATATACCATATAGTTATAGTGTTGCTCATAGGTCCCAAAAGTGCTCCATTTCCTTTGATGTAAACCTTGGATAGTGTCTCTGTTTCAAATAGGACAGCTCCACAGAACCTCAGCCCTCTCAGCCCAGCAGCACACAGATATGAATGTGATGACAGGGAGTCTGTCTGGCCCCACAGACTCTTGAATGGGGCCTGTGTGTCCCTGCCAAGGGCAGCAGTGTCCTCTGGTCATCAGTGAATGCACTCTTTGAGAAGGAACAGTGTACTCTTGTTTTAAGAGAACTGGGGACATTGAGAAATATTTGGTCCTTGGGCCTAGAGCAAACATTTAATACAGTTATTGGCAGAAAAGGGCATTTTTTTTCTTGAAAAAGAAAAATGTGTTCCTAAAGAGAAATTAACTGTGTTTTATTCACCCATTTTAAAATTCAGTTTCTACTTCAGAATGATATTATTCATCTTAAAATATAAGAATATAAATTCTAGCTGGACCACATGGAGTTCTTCCCTTTGGGTGTGGAGGGTTTTGGCTCATGTGGTAACAATTTAAAAATAGTAGACAAGCAGTTTTATAACTGCCTCCTTAAATGTTTTCTGGAACCAAACCGACATCAGTGCATAATATCTGATACGTGTTATTGAAGCTAGTCTTTGTTTCCCAATCTCCAAACTAGGTCAAATGCCCTTTATGAGGCTCAAATGAGATAATGTGTGCAAATATAGAACGGGTTACTTTTCTGTGTCCCCTCAGTTCTCTGCTGGGTTTCGAAGCCTCTTTTGGATGCTGAGTTTCCATCCCTTCCCTGTCTCCCCATTTCACCATGACTTCCACACTGGCCTCTCTCCAGGTGCCCACTGGCTGGTGATGACATTTTGGCTTGTAGCCCAGCAGAGTGACATTGTGGAGAGCACCTGCCACTGGAGGCTGTTCAACCTGGTGGTGGGAGCCGTGTACATCCTCTGCTACCTCAACTTCTGGGACAGCCCTTCCAGAAACAGGATGGTCAGCTTCTACTTGGCAAGTGGCAATAGCGGTCTTCTTTAATCCTAACTTTTACAGGATGTGTAACGTGGGGTGGTAATGTGCATTATGTGTGTGCCTGTGGACACGCATGTCTGTGAAAGAAGGAATAGCTTAGCATCAGGAACAGAGATGGCAGGCCTTGGAAATGTTAACCCGACATCCAGTCATTGCCACACTGTTGCTGTGGCAGCAATGGAAGTGTGTTCGGTGGTATCTTCCCTATGTCATTGGCTAGGCATCCGTCATTGCCTTTCAACTGTGTTTTATCGCACACAATGCCCGTAGGTGTTCTAGGCATCTTCATGAACAGTATGAGAAACTCAAAGGTACCTGAGGCCTGTCTTCAAGTTGCTTCTAGTGCAACAGAGAAGACTTCCACCCATTTTTTTCTTTTTTATCCCCCCCGATATTGGGGTTTGAACTCAGGTAAGCCCTCTGCCACTTTAGCCACATCCCCAGTCCTTTTGTTTTGAGTTTGTTTTTCAGATGAAGTCTCAGGCTTTTGCCTGGGCTGACTTTGAACTGTGATCCTCCTACCTCTGCCTCCTGAGCAGATGGGACCACAAGTGTACCACCATTTCTGACCTGTTTTTGAAATAAGGTCTCACTAATTTTTGCCCAGGCTGGCCTCAAACCATGATCCTCCTAGCTCCACCTCTCAAGTAGCTGGGATACAGGAGTGCACCACCACACCTAACTCCCATTTTCTTCAAATTCGTAATCTTTGGTAAGTTTGTACTTAAGTAACCAAAAAGAATAAGATGGAATGTGAGTAGTTGTCAGGAAAGACTTGTTTTGCATCTTGGAAATGACAATAAAATCATTACTGATTACTACCACTTGGGCAGGGATGCTGTGTGGCTAGAGGCTGCCCCCAAGCTCATGGACTATGTTGCTTCATGTATTTCTTACAAATCTTGCTAAGATAAAACCCATTTTGCTGATGAGGAACTTGAGGCACACAAAGGTGAAGTAACCTGCTAGTCAGGCAGAGGCAGGATTTAAATCCAGCTGGGCTGGTGCTACAGGCCATCCTTAACCAAAAAACCACTCTGTCTGGTGGGGGATTGGAGATAGTTTGGCCTGGAGTGGGTCTGACTAGGTCCCAGGAATTGTGTTTTGGGGACAGTTTCAGGTCACACTGTCGGTCAGCCTCCTTTGGGAACCATGTGCCTAAACTCACCTTCTCCTTTAACAGAGGTGGAAACCAGCCTCTGGGTCATTTGTGAAGAGAACAAAGAGGTTCGGCTGGCAAGTGGCAATAACAAATCCAAGTGGGAAAGTCAGTCATTCACCATGCCCCATCCCACTTTTTGTACATTTCACCCACCAGAGGCTGTTCACCTCAGCATACACACAGACCCTAACGCTAGGGTGCTAGAAATGGAATTAATAGGGTGTGAGAAGGCCAGGTATATGTGACCACAAAACCACAAGTCAGTGAAACCACTGTGATCAGACAGGTGACTTATCAGAATCCCAGGGGAATGTGAGTGCAGAGAGAAGGCAGAGCCTGGGACGTCAGAGTCTGGGACATGAGGGAGGGCTTTGCAAACGTGATGTGGAGCTGGGTAGGAGAGGTGAGCAAGGTTGCCTAGGAAGAGACGAGGCGTCTCAGGACATCTCAGGCAAAGCTGCAGAGGCAGAGTGTTAAGGAATCCCCTAGAGAGTATGTGTGGAGGTGCCTCAGTGAGAGACAAAGCCAGAAACCAGTTCCAGGCAACAAAAACCAATTGCCTTCGGTTTGTCTCAGTAGGTCCTGCATGAACTGAATCCTGAGTCAGCAGAGGAGGGAGTGGGGATGAGGAAGGTCAGGGGTTTAAGCAGAGTCAGGGAAAAAGTGGGAAGGGTGATAGCTAATGACTTTGCTATCTGGAAAATTGCTACTTATCAAGAACAGAAGCAAACTTCCTAAATCTTTATGAATAACAGGAGACAGGGGTCATTGAAGGTAGAGAGCAAGGTGCTCACTGGGCTGGGAAAGTGATGTCCTCCAATGTGCTTCAAAGAGACACTCCCAGGTCCTTGATAAGACGGTTCTGAGTGGTGGGCGGTTCATATCTCAAAGGACAGAGGACAGATGTACAATTGCAAGCTTTCTAAAACAACTGCTCCAAGAGGGTTGAGGGCCTGTTTGCCCACTACCAGACTTGACCTAGAGAAAAGCAGTAAATTCTTCTTGCAGCTTTGAGCTTTCTCAGGCAGGAACTGAAAGGGTTGGAGTTGTCATCCTGGGGATGTGACCTTGAGCTGTTAGCTGGTGTTTGCTCAGATCTCTCAGTGTGTGTGCGTCTGTGCGTACGGTGTGTACACAGGGGACGGAATCATTTCTGTTAAGGGTTGGTCATTCTCACTAGCCACAAGAAGGGGGCTCTGAGCAGTCCAGAAGAGTTTAAATGGAAACTCTTTGTCAGCAGAAAGTCCTTTTGAAGACAGTGTGTTGGAAGTTGACCCAAATGGTAAACAGGATTAACTGTACTGTGGGGGAATGGGGACATCACCCCAAAGTTAAGATGGGATTTTTTTAAGGTATGTGGAGGGGATGACAAGGTCCAATCTGCAGGTGAGATGGGCTACAGTATGGAGGAGAGACTGCAGGATGAGGATGCCCAGAAAAGATATAATAGGGTCAGAACCACAAAAATGGCAGGGCAGACAGAAAGTCAGTAGTGGATTTGAGAGAAACTTAAGAATTGAATGAAAAAGGCTAGATAGCTGCTGGGAATGAGGAGAGAATGTTCCAGGTGTTCTGTCCTGGACAGCTGGACAATGTCGTCCAGTATTGGACACCACCCATGAGCCCCCCTGAGTAGAGAGAAGGGAGCAGCCTGAGGGTTACTAAGCAGTCACTGATAGTTTTGAATTCTTCCCTTATCTGAATTTTCTATAGTTACAGTGAAGCCAGTGAATTGCTATGGCAAATTGTTGAAAACTTCCAGCATATCAGTATCATAATTTAGTTTTTGTCATGTTTCATATGCAGTAGTTAAATATACAGATGGTTCCAAACTTAGGATTTCTCAACTTTGTGATGATATGAAAGTGTGCTCATAGCACCACTCTGTTTTTCACTTTCAATACAGTATTCAGTAAATTATGTAAGTGTTCAACACTTTATTGTAAAATGGGCTTTGTGTTTGATGACTTTGCCCAACTAAAGGCTAGTATAAGTGCTCCAAGCATGTTTAAGTTAGGCCGGGCTATACCAGGATGTTGGGGACGTTAGAGATACTGGATATATTTTCACCTAAACAATATTCTCAGTTTACAATGGTTCGTTAGGCAATAATCCCATTATGAGTCAAGGAACATCTATGTACTCTTTGAGTTATGTCCTGTTAGTTTACTTATTTTAATAAGAAATACACTTTTCTATTTAAAAATTGGAAACCAAAGTTAATAAACCAGCCTTGATAGGTACACAAAGAACCTTATTGATATGGAAAGCTTGGTCTCTGCCCAAGAGAGAGCAGGGTTTTGGAGAAAAGGAAATAAATGTTGACTAATTTGCCAGGCAAATAAATGACTCCAGCAGACTATCATGCCAAAGAACTATAGTACCAACCCAAGGAGGAGGACCAGTTTTAAGGGGAAGCCTAGGAGTTTGGGGTCTGCTTATTTCCCCAGCTTACTGGAGCCAGACTTCCTTGTCCTGTTGACAAAGACTTCCTCCCTCCTTCCTGTGATCTAGAGATGAGAAGCATGGTGGTCCAGGCTGAGTGGCCCTCAGGGAAGCATGAGGGCTCAGCAGTAGCTAAAAGAGTGCTACTCTTGAATTCCCTAGCATGAGGGAAGGAAGAGAAAAAGAAAGGCCAAGTTAAACTTGACATTGAACAAAACAGGCTAGCTAGTGAGATGATGTAATTATTAGGCTACAATTATAGCTGTGAACATCTTGTAGGAATCTTTTCCTGTTGCATTATGGAAGAGTCCACCACTTTGGACCAACGTCAGGGCAGATCACCTCCCCTGCTGCCATTTGGTGGTGGCAAAACAAATTTACCTTTAAAGACACAAATGTTTAAAGAAAAAGTCTCAAGTTGTTACTAAAATTTGTGCCTCTAGCTTCCTGAAATCTAATGGTGCCTTAAGTTCTGTAGACAGTTTCAATGACTGTCTAACAGCAATGCGTGCCTGGAGTCAGCATGAGAACAGAGAAAAACATTAGGTAAAACATTAAAATTTCCCAGTCCAGCCTGACTCCAGTGGGAGCACCATAGACCTGTGAGCAGTCGCACATCCTGTGCATTTGTGCTTCTGAAAACATTTCTGTGATCCACACCAGGAACACAGAGACTCCCATTTTGCAGAGAAGTTCCCACTGGGGCTGTGACCATGATTTAAGGTGGCTCCTCGGCCTGGGAGCCCTAGTAGGCATGGAGGACAGAAGGGAATTGCTGCAGATCTCAGGATGGGGAGCTCCCTGCTGCTGCCCTGACAGCTATGGTGCCTCTTCCTTGGTCCCCCAGGTAATGTTGCTGGAGCACATCATTCTTTTGCTGTTGGCCACTGACTTTCTCCAGGAGGCATCATGGACCAGCCTGTGGACCATAGCAGGAGTGTTGTCTGGATTTCTAATTGGTAAGACTTAATGCACCTTCTTATCCAAGTTTCCCGCCCAACCTTTATTTTTTTGGGGGGGGGGGTTGTCTTTTTTTTTTCTTTTTTATTTTATTATTCATATGTGCATACAGGCTTGGGTCATTTTTCCCCCCTGCCCCCACCTCCTTCTTTACCACCCACTCCGCCCCCTCCCTCTCCCCCCCAACCCCTCAATACCCAGCAGAAACTATTTTGCCCTTATTTCTAATTTTGTTGTAGAGAGAGTATAAGCAATAATAGGAAGGAACAAGGGTTTTTGCTGGTTGAGATAAGGATAGCTATACAGGGCATTGACTCACATTGATTTCCTGTGCATGTGTGTTACCTTCTAGGTTAATTCTTTTTGATCTAACCTTTTCTCTAGTTCCTGGTCCCCTTTTCCTATTGGCCTCAGTTGCTTTAAGGTATCTGCTTTAGTTTCTCTGCGTTAAGGGCAACAAATGCTAGCTAATTTTTTAGGTGTCTTACCTATCCTCACCCCTCCCTTGTGTGCTCTCGCTTTTATCATGTGCTCATAGTCCAATCCCCTTGTTGTGTTTGCCCTTGATCTAATGTCCACATATGAGGGAGAACATACGATTTTTGGTCTTTTGGGCCAGGCTAACCTCACTCAGAATGATGTTCTCCAATTCCATCCATTTACCAGCGAATGATAACATTTCGTTCTTCTTCATGGCTGCATAAAATTCCATTGTGTATAGATACCACATTTTCTTAATCCATTCGTCAGTGCTGGGGCATCTTGGCTGTTTCCATAACTTGGCTATTGTGAATAGTGCCGCAATAAACATGGGTGTGCAGGTGCCTCTGGAGTAACAGTCTTTTGGGTATATCCCCAAGAGTGGTATTGCTGGATCAAATGGTAGATCGATGTCAGCTTTTTAAGTAGCCTCCAAATTTTTTTCCAGAGTGGTTGTACTAGTCTACATTCCCACCAACAGTGTAAGAGGGTTCCTTTTTCCCCGCATCCTCGCCAACACCTGTTGTTGGTGGTGTTGCTGATGATGGCTATTCTAACAGGGGTGAGGTGGAATCTTAGTGTGGTTTTAATTTGCATTTCCTTTATTGCTAGAGATGGTGAGCATTTTTTCATGTGTTTTTGGCCATTTGAATTTCTTCTTTTGAGAAAGTTCTGTTTAGTTCACTTGCCCATTTCTTTATTGGTTCATTAGTTTTGGGAGAATTTAGTTTTTTAAGTTCCCTGTATATTCTGGTTATCAGTCCTTTGTCTGATGTATAGTTGGCAAATATTTTCTCCCACTCTGTGGGTGTTCTCTTCAGTTTAGAGACCATTTCTTTTGATGAACAGAAGCTTTTTAGTTTTATGAGGTCCCATTTATCTATGCTATCTCTTAGTTGCTGTGCTGCTGGGGTTTCATTGAGAAAGTTCTTACCTATACCTACTAACTCCAGAGTATTTCCTACTCTTTCCTGTATCAACTTAGAGTTTGGGTCTGATATTAAGATCCTTGATCCATTTTGAGTTAATCTTGGTATAGGGTGATATACATGGATCTAGTTTCAGTTTTTTGCAGACTGCTAACCAGTTTTCCCAGCAGTTTTTGTTGAAGAGGCTGCTATTTCTCCATCGTATATTTTTAGCTCCTTTGTCAAAGACAAGTTGGTTATAGTTGTGTGGCTTCATATCTGGGTCCTCTATTCTGTTCCACTGGTCTTCATGTCTGTTTTTGTGCCAGTACCATGCTGTTTTTATTGTTATTGCTTTGTAATATAGTTTGAAGTCAGGTATTGTGATACCTCCTGCATTGTTCTTTTGACTGAGTATTGCCTTGGCTATTCGTGGCCTCTTGTGTTTCCATATAAATTTAACAGTAGATTTTTCAATCTCTTTAATGAATGTCATTGGAATTTTGATGGGAATTGCATTAAACATGTAGATTACTTTTGGGAGTATCGACATTTTTACTATGTTGATTCTACCAATCCATGAGCATGGGAGATCTCTCCACTTTCTATAGTCTTCCTCAATCTCTTTCTTCAGAAGTGTATAGTTTTCCTTGTAGAGGTCTTTCACATCTTTTGTTAGGTTTACACCTAGGTATTTGATTTTTTTTGAGGCTATTGTAAATGGAATTGTTTTCATACATTCTTTTTCGTTTGCTCATTGTTAGTGTATAGAAATGCTAATGATTTTTCTATGTTGATTTTATATCCTGCTACCTTGCTATAGCTATTGATGATGTCTAGAAGCTTCTGAGTAGAGTTTTTTGGGTCTTTAAGGTATAGGATCATGTCGTCTGCAAATAGGGATATTTTGACAGTTTCTTTACCTATTTGTATTCCTTTTATTCCTTCTTCTTGCCTAATTGCTCTGGCTAGGAATTCCAGTACTATGTTGAATAGGAGTGGAGATAGTGGGCATCCTTGTCTGGTTCCTGATTTTAGAGGGAATGGTTTCAGTTTTTCTCCGTTAAGTATAATGCTGGCTGTAGGTTTGTCATATATAGCTTTTATAATGTTGAGGAACTTTCCTTCTATTCCTAGTTTTCTTAGAGCTTTTATCATGAAATGGTGTTGGATCTTATCAAAGGCTTTTTCTGCATCTATTGAGATGATCAAGTGGTTTTTGTCTTTGCTTCTGTTAATGTGGTTTATTACGTTTATTGATTTTCGTATGTTGAACCACCCCTGCATCCCTGGGATGAAGCCTACTTGGTCGTGGTGAATAATCTTTTTGATGTGTTGTTGAATTCGGTTTGCCATTATTTTGTTGAGGATTTTTGCATCAATGTTCATTAAGGAGATTGGCCTATAGTTCTCCTTTTTGGAGGTGTCTTTGCCTGGTTTTGGGATAAGTGTAATACTGGCTTCATAAAATGTGTTTGGCAGTTTTCCTTCCCTTTCTATTTCGTGGAACAGTTTAAGGAGGGTTGGTATCAGTTCTTCTTTAAAGGTCTGATAGAATTCAGCAGAGAATCCATCAGGTCCTGGACTTTTCTTTTTGGGGAGACTCTTGATTGCTGCTTCAATTTCATTTTGTGTTATAGGTCTATTCAGGTGATTAATTTCCTCTTGGTTCAGTTTTGGATGATCATATGTATCTAGAAATCTGTCCATTTCTTTAGATTTTCAAATTTATTTGAATATAGGTTCTCAAAGTAGTCTCTGATGATTTCCTGGACTTCCATGGTGTTTGTTGTTATCTCCCCTTTTGCATTCCTGATTCTACTAATTTGGGTTTTTTCTCTCCTCATTTTAGTCAGGTTTGCCAGGGGTCTATCGATCTTGTTTATTTTTTCAAAGAACCAACTTTTTGTTTCATTAATTCTTTGTATGGTTTTTTTGGTTTCTATTTCATTGATTTCAGCTCTTATTTTTATTATTTCTCTCCTATTTGTTTTGGGATTTGCTTGTTCTTGTTTTTCTAGGAGTTTGAGATGTATCATTAGGTCATTGATTTGGGATCTTTCAATCTTTTTAATATATGCACTCATGGCTATAAACTTTCCTCTCAGGACTGCCTTAGCTGTGTCCCATAGGTTCCGGTAGGTTGTGTTTTCATTTTCATTGACTTCCAGGAACTTTTTAATTTCCTCTTTTATTCATCGATGATCCATTCTTCATTAAGTAATGAGTTATTTAGTTTCCAGCTGTTTGCATGTTTTTTGTCTTTACTTTTGTTGTTGAGTTCTACTTTTACTGCATTGTGTCAGATAGTATGCACGGTATATTTCTATTTTCTTATATTTGCTGAGGCTTGCTTTGTGCCCTAGGATATGATCTATTTTGGAGAAGGTTCCATGGGCTGCTGAGAAGAATGTATATTGTGTAGAGGTTGGATGAAATGTTCTGTAGACATCTACTAGGTCCATTTGATCTATTGCATATTTTAGATCTTGGATTTCTTTATTGATTTTTGTTTGGATGACCTATCTATTGATGATAATGGGTGTTAAAGTCTCCCACAACCACTGTGTTGGCGTTTATATATGCTTTTAGGTCTTTCAGGGTATGTTTGATGAAATTGGGTGCGTTGACATTGGGTGCATACAGATTGATGATTATTATTTCCTTTTGGTCTATTTCCCCTTTTATTAGTATGGAATGTCCTTCTTTATCTCGTTTGATCAATGTAGGTTTGAAGTCTACTTTGTCAGAGATAAGTATTGCTACTCCTGCCTGTTTTCGGGGGCCATTGGCTTGGTAAATCTTCTTCCAGCCTTTCATCCTAAGCATATGCTTATTTCTGTCGGTGAGATGAGTCTCCTGTAAGCAACAAATTGTTGGATCTTCTTTTTTAATCCATTTTGTCAAACGGTGTCTTTTGATGGGTGAATTAAGTCCATTAACATTAAGCGTTAGTACTGATAGGTATGTGGTGATTCCTGCCATTTAGTTGTCTTAGTTGTTTGAAGGTTTGATTGTGTGTACCTAACTTGATGTTACTCTCTACTGTCTTGCTTTTTCTTTCCTGTGGTTTGGTGCTGCCTGCCTTTTCATGGTTAAGTTGGGTGTCACTTTCTGTGTGCAGATCCCTTGCAGAATCTTTTGTAATGGTGGCTTTGTGGTCACATATTGTTTTAGTTTCTGCTTATCATGGAAGACTTTTATTGCTCCATCTATTTTGAATGATAGCTTTGCTGGGTAGAGTATCCTGGGGTTGAAGTTATTTTCATTCAGTGCCCGGAAGATCTCACCCCACGCTCTTCTTGCTTTTAATGTTTCTGTTGAGAAGTCTGCTGTGATTTTGATGGGTTTACCTTTGTATGTTACTTGTTTTTTCTCTCTTACAGCCTTCAATATTCTTTCCTTAGTTTCTGAACTTGTTGTTTTAATGATGATATGTCGTGGAGTAGTTCTATTTTGATCTGGTCTGTTTGGTGTCCTGGAGGCCTCTTGCATCTGTATGGGAATATCTTTCTCTAGATTTGGGAAATTTTCCGTTATTATTTTGTTGAATATATTACGCATTCCCTTCGCTTGCACCTCTTCTCCTTCGATGCCCATGATTCTCAAGT